GACCCTCCCCCCCTGCTGTCCCACCCCCTTTAGAGAGCCCTCTTGCAGTGCCTGGCTCCCGCAGGGTCCTATTTTCAGTGCGATCTCCTAAAAACCCTCCAGGTGGAGAATTCAGATCCTCTGGCAGATTCAACAGGTCCGATTTTACGTTGAATCACCTCCTCTTTCAGGGTCTTTGGCCCTTATAACACGAGAGAATTGTTCACCAGATTTGAAATGCTTTCCCTCAAGGAGGCAGATGCCAGATATGGTATTCACTGAAAGTGAAGCAGACTCGGAAGCTGGTCCATCCTCGCTGGGGTCTGAGTGGCACATCAGTCTTGTTTATGACCATCTCTGTCCCACTGGGAAAAAATTGTGGGCACAGTCTCTCACTGAACTCTGGGCTGGATCTGATAAGCTCCCGTAGTTGGATTAAGAAACCCATTTGCCTTGGCCCCCTTTCCCCACCCCCCAGCCCCCCACCCTCCCAGCAGTCTCATTTGCTGGATTTGACTTAGGAGGCTGAGGCCTACTTCCTACCGCTGGCTCCCAGTTCGGTCCTGGTGGCTTGGCTTGGAGTCCATTACTTTCTCCCTGACAACAAGAATTCAGGCAGCCCTCAGGATTGTGATAAAGTCTCACATTTTTGAGAAATTCTTGGCTATAAATTTTTCTCATTAGGACTTGATTTATGTGCTTCTAACTCTCCAAGCTGTGTTCCATCTCCTTTGGTAGATGGCCCACTGTAAATGTTTTTGCAATCTGAGTAGAAAGGCTGAATGTATCTCCTCTTCTGTTAATGCAAGGTTTATAATGCAACGTAGCAATCCCAGAAACTTCTTGCTTTGCCCCACGTTTTCTCTGCAGCACTGAGATAATTGGCATGTGAAGGGAATCTTTATGTTTTAAAGGGAGATAACCTTGTTTTAAAATTGATATTGATTTCGCTCATCTAATGTCCCCTATTTGTAAAATATTTGAAAATCTACACAATATATTATTTAGAGCACTTGTTCATATAATTTATAAATAAACGTACATATATATTCAGAATTTTTTACTGATAGGATGCATTATACATGTATCGATCACTCATGGGAAAGCTCCCTTCTCAATTTTTTATTTTGAAAAATTTCAAATCTATAGAATAGTTGCAAGAATAGCATAACAGACATTCTTTTACTTTTCATGTAGATTGTTAACATTTTACTTCCTGTTATATTTTGCCTAATGAGAGAGACAGAGAGACAGAGAGAGGAACCATTTGAGAGTAAGTTGCAGACATCATGACACTTCATCCCTAAATACTTACCCGGTATATCTTAAGAACAAGAGGATTCTTCTGTGTGACCACAGTGCAGTCGTTACACTCAGGAATCTACATTGGGATAATATTCGAATATACTCGTACTAATGTACAGTCCACGTTCAAATATGGGTTTTGATAACTTGGAATCCATGAATGATCTCCAAGGTCAGCCCCTGCAGACCTGCACTTCGTGGGCACCATTTGCTTGTCTCAAGTGCTTGCCCTACTGGTGCTGGTTCATTGACGAAAAAGCTGACTCAGAATCCCTTCCCCCAGCTGTTACTGGCATTTTATTTCCTGCATATTTCCCAAGCTACAGCAGTTGTTCTTACACCTTCTGGATTGCGAGCAGCTGTCAGTTTCCCAAGAGATTTCCTCTCTCCTGCATGGAGCCAGTTCAAAAGTTTTGAACTTGTCCAAGAGTGTCTGCCATTGACTTCCTCTCTGCCTGGGAAGGAATTTAATTTCTTAAGAATCTGTGTGTGTGATAGTAGGTAAAAACAAGTTTCCAGTTTAGGTATTTGACTCAAGCTTTCTCAGTTTAGTGACATTACCCAGACAGTATAAATCTGATTTTCCATCTGGACATCCATATCCCAAGCAGGCACCTTTCCTCCATATCATGTCATACTTCCAATCTTAGAATAGTCTACCATTCCTCTGACTTTCCAGAAGTGTTGGAGGACCCTTCAGAGTTTAGGTCAGGTCAGCTTGTGCTCCTTACGCCATAATTCTGGAGCTCAGTCTCCATGAAGATGAGCTCTAACCCCGAGACTCTGTCAAGATTTTAATCTCTGACAGTAGCCTCCAAATGTAGTCTGGGTAAATTGCAACAATCTCAGAATCCTTCATCAATAAATAATCAGCAGTCCAGAAACTAAATGCTAATGTTGCTTTATTATTGTTACTCGAAACAAAAAGGAAAAAAGAAAAACAAAGGAGGATTTCATTCATCAAGAGTAGCAATATTTTAAAGCGTCTTTTCCATTGTTTTCTCTCTCTCTTGTTTCCTTGCTGCATGACACCTATATCTCCTCACAAGTCCCTCTTCCATCATCCCAAGTTTCTTCCAGAAACACTTCCTGCAGCCTAGTTGACAGAGACTCTTTCTTCCCACTCCTCTCTCAGCTTTTTATCGGGTAGATCAATTTAGTCTCTCAGACTTTCTTCTTCCCCAACACACTCCCCGTTACTCAGATTTGCCCTGGGAACAACAGGATGGGAGTAGATGCAGCAAGAAAGCGTCTTTCTTTCTTAGGAAAGAAGGGATAAAATGAAAGGGGAAGGGAGAAATCAGCAAACGCTCATTATTTGGTATCTTTTTATTACTTTCAGATGTAACCTCTAAATGATTTTCAACAAAATTAAAACACAAATTTATGCTTTTTCTTTGAGAATATGCCTGTAGGCCTTGTCTGAACTGTTAGGAGGCTCAGAACTAAATTCAGAGCTCTGCTGGTATTGGCGCTTTGTCCATCCCACGTGTACTTCTTTATTTCAAAGTAATTTCTTTTGATGCATTTAAAGGCTTCTTTGTAAATGTACTTTCCAATAACAACTTTATCAAGATAAATTCACATATAATAAAACTTACCCTTTTAAAAGCGTACAATTCAGTATTTTTAGTATATTCACAGAGTTTTATAAACATCACTGCTATCTAATTTCAGAACATTTTCATTACCTGAAAAAGAAATGGGGAACAGTTACTCCCCATTTTCTACTCCCACCAACCCCTGGCCTTTTCTGGATCTCTCATATAAATGGAATCATATAATAAGTGGTCTTTTGTGACTGAGTTACTTCCCCTAACACAATGTTTTCAAGGTTCATCCACGTTGTAACATGCATCAGTACTACGTTCCTTTTTATTGCTGAGTCATACTCTACTGCATGGATATAGTATCTGCTCGTCCATTGATGGACACGTAGGCTGTCTTCACTTCTTGGTGATTATGAATAGTGCTGCTACGAACATTCTTGTGAAGGTTTTGTGTGGACGTAAGTTTTTAGTTCTCATGCATATATGCACTTTGGAGTGGAATTGCTGGGTCATAAGTCAACTCTATGTTTACAATTTGAAAACTGGCCAACTTATTCACAGCAGTCACACCACTTTGCATTCTCACCAGCAGTATAGGAGGGTTCCAATTTCCCCGCTTCTTCACCAACACTTGTTACTGCCTATCTTTTTGGTTATAGTCATCCAGTGGATAAGTGAGTGGTAGCTCATTCATATTTATTTTGAATGGTCAGTTAAAAAATTTTGTGCCTAATTATGTAAAACTACCTCAAATTCTTTTTTTAAAAAAACTGTGGTACAATATACAGAACATAAAATTTTACCATTTTTAACCATTTTTACATGTACAGTTCAGTGGCATTAAGTACATTCGCACTGTTGTGCAACCATCACCCCCATCCATTTCCAGAACTTTGTCATCATCTTAAACTGAAACTCTGTGCCCATTAAACAAGAGCTCCCCATTCCCTCAGCTCCTGGTAACTCCTATTCCACATTGTAGCTCTATGAATTAGCCTACGCCAGGTAACTCACAGAAGTGGAATTATACAATATTTGTCTTTTTGTGTCTGGCTTATTTCACTTATAGTGATGTCTTCACAGTTCATCCATGCTATAGTATGTATCAGAGCTTCATTCCTTTGACTCAAATTCTTTTTGTCGGCAGATCTGGTATAATTTTAAATACTAAACTAATAAAGCAAATGTGCCTCATACTTGAGGATGCTCTGTTTTGGCTTTAAGATCCTGGGATAGCTTCTGAGAGAGAGGTGCCACCCTTGCCTCCTGCCTGCAGTGAATGCTGTAGCTACCCCCCAGTTCCCATATACGTATTGGTAAAGTCAGAAGACATTTTTTCAGAAAAAGTGCTGATTTCCCTCACAGCACTGATGACTTGCCACGGAGATTTTAAGTGGGGCTTCCTTGTGGTAAATCACCAAATGAGGAGACATTTTGCTCTTTCTAATGTTTGTATACCAGGGATGACCCCTTGGCAGGGGTAAAAAGTGCAAGTTGCTTTCTCTATGGAGCTCGGTAGAGTCTTTGTGTGAGTACCACAGACTTTGTTTTAATATTTAACCCCTGAATCATGCTATCTACCATTTCATCTCATCAATCTTCCACATAATGATACTCTAATATTTGCTCATAAATTATAACTGCTTTAAGACATGTTCGTCCAGTCTGTATGCTTAGCAGAGTCTGTATAATTGGGTTGGATTCCATTCTTCATTCATGAAAGGAGTTGTTAAATGAATTTCATTGACCTAAAAAATTTTATTATTTATTTTATTATTTTTGGCTGTGTTGGGTCTTCGTTGCTGCGCGTGGGCTTTCTCTAGTTGCGGCGAGCGGGAGCCACTCTTTGCTGGAGCGCGTGGGCGGGCCTCTCACTGCAGTGGCCTCTCTTGTTGCGGAGCATGGGCTCTAGGTGCACGGCTTCAGTAGTTGTGGCTCGGGGGCTCTAGAGCGCAGGCTCAGTTGTTGTGGCACACGAGCCCTGTTGCTCCGCGACATGTGGGATCTTCCCGGAGCAGGGATCTAACCCGTGTCCCCTGCGTTGGCAGGCGGACTCCCAACCACTGTGCCACCAGGAAGTCCCCACTGACTTCTGATTTGTCTTGTTCATACAATTTTCCTAAATAAATGCAGAAGAAATTATCAGCATTCTCTTTGACTGCTTAGATTAAAACTTTGGAACAGACCAAAGCTATTGAAGACCTAAATAAATCCGGAGCAAACTGGAAAAGATGAAGGAGAATGCTGAGAAAAAGCTACTGTCTGTCAAATCAGAATTGGAGACTACAGAGCATGGGGCTAAGAAGAGTAAAGAGAGGGCCAGGAACATGCTAGAAGTGGTAACCAGTGAAATGACGACATTAAAAAAATCGCTGGAAGAAGCAGAAGAGAGAGAAAAGCAGGTGGGTAGAAATCTGGCAGTGAAACCTGATTTAGGAAAGATGGGGCAATTCAAAAGCTTGATAATTATTCATACATTTCTTCATAACCAATTTATCAAGCTTTCTATATCATTCTAACGTATCTATCTGTCTTCTACCATCTTTTTGGCATTAAAAGAACGATTATGATTTATTCCACTAAGAAAAACAATTCACATTTTCATGGCGTGAACTGTAGCAAAGAAAAAGACATTCTTATTGAAGCCATGGAAAGCCTGTGAAAAGCCAGGTTCTGGTTGTGAAGAGGTTTTTATTATATTTGCTGATTGCCTCTGAAGTTTGCGTTATCCCAGATCTTCTAACGTTATCCAGGGCTGCAGCCTCAGGAGGGAAATTTTATCTCCAGCAGAGATCAATTGCAGGAAACAATCCCAATTCTCAAACAGTGGCACCCAGACCTGATGGCCGACCAAGCCCAGATGTAAACCATAAAACAGAACTCATGCGCCCGCTGGTTGCAAGGAGGAGTTTTATCTGGTGAGCCCATCAGGAGGTCAGGCATAAAAAAAACATGTCCTGGGCAGCCTGACCCCTGCTTTTGGCTTTTATCTCAGTCTCTTTCTGCAGCTCAGAAGGGCACAGAGTGGGCTCTGATCCGAGGATATTTTTTCTCTTTGGCTGCCTCTGCTTTGGCTCATGTGTCAGGCCGAGTTGAGGAAGGCCAAACTCTAAGAGTGAGTGGTCTCAGAGGAAACCTCTCATCAATTAAGAGCATTGGCCATATTCAAAAGGGTGGAAAAGTTTGGGGAAAACTTTTTCATCAGGGAGGCTAGGCTGGAAAGAGTGTTCTGTTTCCCGAGTTGGGTTCAGCGTAGGAAGGATGCTGGTGAGTGAATGAGCACATGACGAGGTCGTGTGGAAGGCACTTCTCCTGGAGGAAACATCTGCCTTCGGATTGGATCACACCTTTTCTAAAATGGAAGGTACCTCTGGAGAGGGGTTGTCTGGCCATCTCTAGTTGATCTGCTTCTGCTTTTACCTAGAATCACAGCAACCAGTCAAGGAGAATTTGAAGGGGTATAAGGCACATTTTGTCCATTTTCTCTAGCTCCACAACTCTCATTTTTCCTTTTGTGTTGGACAAATAATTGTCCCAGAGAGTCCAGTGTTGTGGATTGTGAGGTGGCAATCTGTGTGATGTGATTTGATCAACGCTTAGAAGTCCTCCATTTTCATCAGCTCATACTTTTTTTCTTTTTGCCATTTGTTCTTCCTTTTGTTTAAGAGGTTCATTGCCCAGTTAACATCCCAGTGCATAAATGCTTATAACACAAGAGACACAACCACACCGACAATTGTAGAGCATTTCCTAGTAGGCAGAACACATACACAGTCATCGTTTCATTTGACCCAAATTTCAGAACAGCCCTGGGAAAAAGATATGCTTAGTCATTCACCCTGGAAGTGGGAAAATGAAATCTTATCAAGGCCAGAATCTCATTCATAGTTGCTGAACTGGGCTTCTTGATTTGGTAGCCGATACCATATTAATTGGCTTATCAGAAAAGTGGTTATGAAATTGATGAAGGTTAGTGTCTTTAGAGGTAATTTAGCAGGTAGCCTTCTTCTTCTTCTCCTTCTTCCTCTTCTCCTTCTTCCTCTTCTTCTTCTTCCTCTTCTTCTTCTTCTTCTTCTTCTCCTTCTTCCTCTTCTTCCTCTTCTTCTTCTTCTTCTTCTTCTCCTTCTTCTCTTCTTCCTCTTCTTCTCCTTCTCCTTCTCCCCCTCCCCTCCCCCACCCTCCTCCTCCTCCT